AAGTACCCAGCTGGAAAGTTATGGGAAAATCCAAGCACCCTAGTTACAGCCTTATCATAGTTTAAACCACAGGCAGTAGTTTGGGGTCTAATTGCATTGCTCAGACGTGACTTCTGAAGAGGTATGGCCCTGTCCAGGGGAAAAGAAAAGCAGTGTGTGTGTGCAGCGCTGTGTAAATGCTTGCGAGTAACTTTCTGTGTGGCTGAATAACGGGTTCTCCGTCTTCTGTGTTCCAGTGCTTGGCATAGGCCATGGAAACACACTACTCACTGATCTGTACAACTGCCACCTGACCAAGGTAGGCGACGGCACTGAACGGCCTCAAAATACCTGAGCGCAATGGCACACTCGGTTCCTGCCGCAGACTAACCTCATGACCGTGATTCTGCTTTTGAGTCTCAAACCCTCCAATGGTTTTGAGAGCTTTTCGGGGTCCAGAATTTCATCCTTCACGTGAGCATCCACACGTGGCCGTCTGAGTGGAGGATGCTGCTGTCTTTTTGTGCAACGTCATCATAGCCTGCACTCCCTAGCAACTGCGCAGCAGAATATCGCTAGTCAATTGCTTGGAGTATTTCTTTGATAAATTGCACTCTTTGCTCTTCTTCAAGGCTTACACTGTTGGTGGGCTGTTTGGTAAAGCCACTGATGACTTCTCAGACACAGGGAAGCTAGTAGAGAAGACAACATTTGGTAAGAAACTGAATTGATGTTTGTTTGTTTGTTTTTTTTTTTTTAAATACCAAAGAAACAGCATTCTGACTGCAAAGGACTTAACCAGGTAAATTGCACAAAGATAAAGAGTATGCCTGAAATGCTTCCTTGTTTCTGTTTGTACGTGCAGCCACGCGCAGTCCTGACATCGCAGTCCTGTGCTACGTACAACTGCAATATATAGAAAGCCAGGATGAGTCCTGGTCACAGTGGTTGCTACTGGGTTGGGTGGGACCCAGATCTCTCCAGAAATTACACCTAGAGATGGCAGTTAGAAGCTTTCCTCAAATGAAACTCTTCAAACGCCCAATTAGAGAAGCTGGAGCCAACGTCCTGAAATCAATTAAGCAACATGATTCTCCCCTTTGTAGCCCAGTGCTGTGCTCTGCGCATTACCATGGTACAGCCAAGAGAAGTGACTCTGCTAAAGCCACCTCTCGGCCCATGTTGATGTGACTGCCTGCCAAAGGGACAGTAATGCCCTGATGGCACATTTCAGGCTGCTGTCTCTTTCCAGTTTCTGGATGGATAATTGAGACTTTGTTTCTACCTTAATATTTGCAGATCATATCACAAGGGAGAAGCTGGAGCGGATTCTCGCTGTCATTCAAGGAACAAATCATAAGGCCCTGCTGATGTACGTATCCAATGGGGAAACGCAGCTGACCTCATCCAACTGCTGTTTGCTGTCTTTAAAACAAATGAGATGATTTTGGTGGCCATAATCAAAGTCTTTAAAGGTTGGAGTGCAAGACAGGAACAGAGAGAAGTTTCTCTGAGTGCTTTGTACCCTGGTGAGAGGTTGCAGTTAAGTGTCCTTGTATGCTGTATCCTTGTATCCTCTGGCTATTTTAGGGCCTATTAGCTACATTAGAACCTACAAAACATCTTGTTGACATGACCAAGTACCTCCCTCAAACTGTGTGACACTACTGACAGTACATGTAGCATTAAAATGTATGCAAAAGCTCAGCACGTGGGCAGTTTTAATAATAAAAGTTGCAGCTCTGCTTTATTGGGATGGAGATATTTTGGATCTCATTGAAGAGAAGTACTAAGTGTCTGCTCTGTTTTTTCTTTCTCCAGGCATTCTAACATTGATATGAAAACACAAGAGGCATACGAGCTCGCTGTCAAAGGGTTGATTCGCCCCATGGGAAAAAGCCCTCCGATAATCACAGCAATCCGATGCCTCCAGTTCGCTCCTCCAGAATTTCAACTAGGTAGGACTGGTACAAAAACTGCTGGGGAAGTGTGAGTATATATTATGGCAAATAAGTCAGTAAACTTCAGCTTCTTTGTGGTTTAATGCAAAATGGGTTGGTGGGAACTTTGTGTCAACTTTAACTGGTAATTTCTGCAGAAAATTTAATGATTTGTAGTTTCCAAAGTCACAAAAGCATCTCCTCGTTAGATGAACTCTTCAGTGTGGTGGAAGGATTTTTTGGTAAGGCAAGATCTCGCAGTACTGGAGCTGCTATAATACCCTCGCAGTACTACCCTCACAGTACTGGAGCTGCTATAATAAATCAAGCCAGCTGTGCACCTAGCTCACAGGTTTTTCCTTGCCAGTTCCAGGTCTAAGACAGGCAAGAAAATTTGCCTATGGGGCAAAATTCTTCCGTATCCCAGTGTTTCGGTGTAATACAGTTCAGTGTGGTTGGGTTGGTTGTTTTTTTAAAGCATGCTTTCCTGCAACCAGTCTCCTACTCCTCACAAATTGTCTTATTAAAAAAGTACCTTTTCTTACCCTTTTGAAATACCTAAATTTCTATGTTACTCTCCTGTATCTATGAGTTTGGCTTCTAAAACATTCATTTTGGGAGGTGCTAGGACACCCTGCAGTAGTCCAGAAAATCATAATCCAGCCGTGCTGTATCTTAAAATAGTCTCTTCTACCAAACCAGCTCTTTCAGCATAGCTGTGAGCAATGTCTGGATTTACAGACAAGGTCTGAGTTTGCATCGACGCTTTGCTTCTTCTGAAGGAACATCTCTGTCCTTCTAGAAATCCATTGCTTGCATGAGACTCAGCAGTACCTCCGGAAAGTAGTTCATGAGGTTGGTCTGGAGCTGAAATCATCGGCCGTGTGCACGCAAGTGCGGAGAATACGCGATGGTGTTTTCACGCTGGATGATGCCCTCCTGAGAACCCAGTGGAACCTGCAGAGCATCCAGAATGCAATTTGGGACTGTCAGCTTAAAGTGAGAACAGAGTTAGAGAAGACGCTAGGCTGTCAGGATGAAAACCTTCTTCAGAAGATGGACGTGGAGGTGGCCCACGCTGCAGACAGCTGAGTGTGCGCTGCGCAGGGAACGTCCACAAGAGATCTTTGCAGCACAATAACACAGCTACGTGCTGACAGCATGATGGACAGCAGAAGGAAAGAGGTTAATTGCAGTTCACTTCCACCCTTTCCTTGAGATGACTTTAATCAGAGAGGCATTTTTTTCAGTGACAGGCTGTATAATTTTTTTCTAAAGCATTGCAAGCAGTTCATTAACAGGAGTTAGCTGTGCCAAAATTCCTGTTGCCTTCGGGAACATTAGGTTGCTAAGGGATATAAAAACCCATCCCCAAATTGTTTAGCAGCAGGAAATAGGCAGCGTCTTACAGAGCTGTTTTCCCTTGATTGCACGGATTTGTTTGTTCCTTGCAACTGGCAGCATAACTTATCTATGTGGATTTTATTTTCCCTTTGTTGTCCTAGAGTATTTTTTTTCCATTAGAAGAGCTCAAAATCAGACTAAAAGAGGGATGTGCAGGAGAAAACACAGCTCACGCGAAGCAATGCAAGGAAATGGTTATATCCAGAGTAGGCGTGTTTGATGAGGAAAGTGGCATGTAATAGGGATTGATGCATAAGATACACAAGAAATAAAACTGAAAGTGACCTAAAGGGTAAGAGGCTGGTTCTTGGCTCAGTACTCATCCATAAATACAGTGACTCATTAAAAAAAAAAAGAGCATGTGCTGCTTTTTTTTTTGCCCCTTCCCCCCCGGCCCGAGGAACCAAGGGTGTTCAGGGGTCTCTGGTATCCTGCTCTGCAGCAGCTCCATGCAGCCTGCCCTTCAGTGAAACTCCGTTAAGCTCTGCAATACCCTTTGTTATCTGTTAGCTCATTATAGCAGGTTCTGACTTACCAGAAATACACTTTCTAAATTTGAATTAAAAGTCTTAAGTTTTACCATTATTGCACTCAGTATTTTTCCAGCTATACGCTTAGCTAGCAAGTTTGGAGATTTACTTACAGAAAGCAGAAGAGGAGGTTTGTTCTATTCCTCTTCTGGATCTGGACAAAGGCCAGCGTGTTTCATCCTCCAGCTGATAGCCATTAAGGTACAAGAAGCAACTCCGGGAGGAGCAGTAAGAGAGGCCATGATGAAGTACCTAAATACCAGAGTCCAGTCCTGCCCGGAAGCATCCCAGGAGTCATTAACTGAGACCCTGGAATCTTTCAGTTGTTCTGGGATTCCCTGCTTTGCACGGAGCAGCCAGGACAGCAGTGGAGTGGAGCTGCCACCATGTGGCACGTTTCTGTGCCAGCCGCAGGGGCAGGTTGCTCTCACCTCAGCTGGTTGGTGCTGTGTGCGTTCATCATCCGTGGACAAGGGTGTGGGGTCAGGGCACCTTCCAGGGACAGCTGTCTTGTACTAACTGAGGGGTAAACCCATCACAGCAGAAGTGTGAGTTCTGGAGCTGGGCAGAACGCTTGCACGGCTACGGCTGCAAGTTGTCACACTAGTGTTCTTACAAGGAGGGGAAGAAAACATGGACTTCTCCGTCCTTCAGTAACTTTGGAGATGGAGTATAAAACCATTTCCAGTTGCTTGTGCCATTGCCAGGCTTAACATTTTGGTTGGAACACTCCAGGCTAAACCAACTCTTCCACACAGAAAATACCAGCCAAAACAGCAACATAGGTTTTGAGAACGAAGTTAGCATTTCCCAGTTCTAGCCTTCTCGTGACATTTTTCCCTTCCTTTAAAACTACTCCAAAACACAGGAGTTTTTAACACTTGGCAAGAGGGGTTTATGGTGGGGAGGATACACCTGTAACCATACCCATGAGAGCCCATTCTTATATGGCCACAGTAAATACCATCCAGAGAAGCACAGCTGGACGTTAGCAGAGACATGCTTGAATGAACCACAGAACCCAGGTATTTTGTCCGTCCCTCTGCTTTAGACCCTTCCCCAGGGGCATTTGTGGCAAAACAAGATACCTGTTAGTGATGTTTCTGCACCAGGTCCAGAACAGAGAGAACAAAAACAATTCTCCGTTCTCAGCAGCAGCCTTTGTGACCTTTTCCTGGTTTCCAAGCGCTGTGAAGACAGATTCGTTTGATTGAAATTTGGAAATAAGAGCAGACTGCAGCATGGACCTCTGGAGAGGTCCTCCCCACTGGAGACTGGGGAAAAAACATACTGGCAGGAAGGTTTTAGAAGTAGAAATGAGCAGAAGGACATCAAGCTGGAGTGAAAAGGGACAACCATCTGCAGTCAGCAGAGCTCTTTATCACTTAGAACTGCCTGAAGAAGCCAAATTTAGTCTGCAGTCACCCTCAATCCCAATACCTGACATTGAAACATTCATGCTCTGAACATAATTTTGTGTTTAGGACACCACTTGCTTTCACAGGGGCTCTGCATTTGCAGAGTAAAGGTAATTCTGCACCTACTCATTACTGGGTAGTGCTGCCACAGTGTCTCCATTAAGAGTCCTCAGAAAACATCTAAATAATAGATGTTATAGATGTCTCAACACTAAGAATTTGTTCCCAGGTTCATGGCTCTTAAAGTGAATAACAGAGAAACATGGAGTGAACAGTTCAACACAACTTCACATTTTGCTATTTACTACAGAAACGATACAAAACCTCTAGAGCAGTTAAGTACAAAACTGCGGAACACCCAGACTTCTCCAGATTTGATCACAGAACAAAAAAAACCCAAACCACCACAACTTCAGCCTTCCTCCCTCCCTCCTTCTGAGGGGATTTTCTTTTCTTTCAAAGCAGCTATTGCATTGCACATTTGTATGCCCACGCTTCCTCTATCCATTCAGTGGTAGCTGCTTCCGCCTGCAGATCAGTGTATCCAGACAGGCCCTGGATGTTATGGAGAAGCAAAGGCTCAATGGAAAGAGTCTTAATATCAACCTGAATTAGAACCTTTCCAATAAAGAAATAAAAATACCATTGATCAGGTAGCAGACGAGATTATCCGAAGTCCTACATCCCTTTCCCACAGGCAGGAAACGGTTGATAGATTTAACAGCTTTCATGTTCCAAAGCTTCTCAGAAACAAGGCTGTTAACCCACGCTCTGTTGCAACCCTGCAGATGTACTTCCGAGGCCACCTCATGTCAGTTCTAAACTGCTACGATGCTGAAACATGATGGCTCAGCAACAGCTATTTTTACAGGCCGTGGCAGTCCGCAGGTTCAATGCTAGTCGCTGAGCTCCAGATCGTACTCAGGGTAGAGCTGCTTTGTAGTAACTCCTCGGATAACAGCTAGAAAAGAAGAAATACCATTGCTTTCGTTCAACAGAGATCAGATCAGTCAGAAAAGTTGTGTTTTCCTCACAGCAGCCCCTGACTATCCCACAGAACCTCCCACAGCCAAGAAACCAACCTAAGGTTTGGCAGCTATGCTCCCCATTTGTCTCAACGCTTGTCTTTTTTTTGAGCATATAAAGAACAAAACTGACAAAAATTAATAAGACATCAAATTTTGGTAATCCATAACAGACTAAAATACCATTAAGTGACCATTATTTCACATGTTCAGTTCTAAAAACATCTCAAGAAAATAACAACAGAAGCATTTGTGCTTGCACAAGTGACTGAGTAACTGAGTAACATAAACCTGGAATTGAAGGATCTTTCAAATGAGCTCTGCCTTCATGGCATAGTAGCTTGTCTCTTGTCCATACGAAAACATTGACTAAGAAGTTCTTCAACAAATTTCCCCTTCCTTACCCAGCTTGCCTAGCAGCATCTGTCCAGCGTCTTTAATATCGTTATACTCATGGAGCAGGGAGATGTGCTTCTCCAGTTCCTCCAGGCTGTAGCCTCTGTAACAATAAAACCAGACAGGTCAAAAACGGCACAGCGGGATTGCTGCTGCAGCACAGCAAGCACTGCCACTACCGACCAAACGCAGCAAGGATATCTGAGATACCCAAGTCTGGCACTTCTACAGCCAAACCTGAAGGCAGCAAGTACCACTGCTGCAAATGATAAACATGAAAGCTGCAACGAGCAGATCCTCACCTTGAGTTTTTGCTACATCAAGACATCAAAAAAACCCCAATCCACCCGAATTCTCAGAATCAAGTGGAAACAAGAATAAGCTGTGGTGAATTCAACTTATATGTATCTCTAATCTGTAGCTAGGGGGAAAAAAATTCTGTTTATCCTTGAAGATAAAACAAAAAAGCTTTTGGAATAGCCTTTGTTGCTCTATCCATTCTATGCACTACACATTATCTTAGAAGATATCACACCCTCAGAACGAATAACCCTGAGATTCCCTCCCTTTAAAATAAAAATCAAGCAGCAATCTTATCTTGAAACGGTTTCTAATAAGCAGCTGCCACATTGAGTCATAAGAAACCACAATAAAACAGTTGCACTACCCTGAACGTGGCACTCGTCAGGCCAAAGCGTTGTGCAGGCCTGGAAAACACCTCTGCTTCTTGAGCACAAAGGCTTAACCCTCTTGCCTCTGACACGAAACAAGTGAACACTTGATCGAGATGGAACAAAAAAGGAAAGAGTTTTTCTGGGCCTAAATTTGGCAGATCACACAAGTTATGATCTCAATTTTAATTCTCACATGAACAAGCTCTTCTGGTAGCCTGACATGTTGTATTATCATGATGGTTAAAATTATTTGTTCCAAATTTACATGTAATTACCTCAGCAACACCTGGGGTAAAGTTAAAATCTTCTTATCTAAGCTCCTAGTTAAACTTGTTTCCCTTTAAACCAGGAAGAATTCCTTCTTGTCTTTATCAGGTAACTCAAACCAGCACATCATTTAGCACCATGATGAAAATGGCATCACAAGAGGTCAGCTTTTAGCTCTAATTCAAGGCATCACAGCGAACACCGAGCTTGCCAAGGACATACTCAGACAATAACTGTGCAATTTCCTGGTCTAGAGCAAGGTCTTTCTGTTTCAGCTGTTCAATTTCATCCTGCAGGGCTTCTTCATGGGCTCCGTTAGGCTGACAGGACGTTGGAGACAGGATCTGTAGAGCACAGAACACATTTAACACGAACTCA